AGTGACGGGTATAGAATACAGACTTCATCTTTCATATTCACATATTAGACCGATGTCAGTTTATTGATATATAAGTAATGGACAACAGCCAGTGTATGCAGTTACAGTACAAACCAGTTTTTACATTTCTTTTGTCAATTCATTGTCAAATGTCACAATTTAAGCATTAAAAGCCTGAAGATTTTAACTGATTTGGCCCTATTGCTCATAGAGAATAATGTCAGTCTTGTGACTCTACAGCACAGCTCTCTCATTGTGGATTGTAGTGTATATTCCGGCACTCCAGACGCAGTCAAGGATGCATTTCTTCCCTGCATATATTTCTTGTTCTATACAAATAATATACAGGGAGCACAAATGACTAAACAGGAATCTGTGTAGTGTTGCGATGAATGCGTTCAGGAATGAGAAAGTGTCCCCAATTTGCCAACCAGCACATTGATCTGCCCCTAAACAATGAGGGAGCACATTATCCACATTCTCAAAGCAACGGATTGCCACATACAGTATTGTGAGATTGAATTATAAGACATATCGAGAAATAAGCTTGTTGTGTTATTAATGTGATATGAATGATTTAAACGTTTTTATATTTTATTAATGACTATATTTTGATTATTTCCTGATTGTTATGTTGCAGGAAAGGCTCATGGGGCTGATGACTTCCTGCCTGTGCTGATGTACGTCTTGGCTCGCTGTAACATCAGTGCTCTGCTTCTGGATGTAGAGTATATGATGGAGCTTATGGATCCGGCTTTGCAGCTCGGAGAGGGTGAGGACACACACACAGTGAAGTTACAAAACCCGTGGATGTGATCATGTGCATAATGGATTGATTGCATACTTCAAAGACGAATTATGCCTTTTTTAAAATCTTTTTTTTTTTTTTTAATTATGAATTATATCTTCTTTTTGAAAATCAAAAACTTTTCCACCACATCTTAAGTGCATTGAGTTTAAATGTGTTTTGTGGTGGAATTGACATTTTAAGCATTTTTTGGAGAGTTAGATTATTTAGTTTGCTGAGGAAAATGTGACAGATAGCATTTAATGTGTAATAAATGCAAAAAATATGAAACAATATTTCACACTTTTTTCCTAATTTGACTCTCAGCTTGATTAGAAATACTAAATTAAACAAATATTTTATTCACAGGTGATATTTATCTTTATTTACACATATTTGTTCACTTTTTTGCTTAGCTTCTACAATGTAATATACTGCATACTCACAAACTGACAAAAAGTAACCTGGTTGCCTTAAATTTTTTAGGTTAATTGAAATGGAAAAATTGAGTTAATACAATGAAGGAGATTAATTTATTCACCAGAAACTCAAAATATTATGTTATCTAAACTACATAAATTATCTAAGTTGATTTGACAAAAGAAATAATGTTGTGATTACAAATCATGAATTTTTTTTTTTTTTACAGTGTACAAATAAAATGCATTTGAAATGTAGCAAATTTGTTGGCTTCAATATAAATCAACCTCTTGGAGTGAAGATTTCCATATAGTTGAAGACCAATAAATAACATATTTTACAATTTTTTTTATCATTTGTCTTGGTCACAAACAAAGTGACACTGAAGTCAGCCTAGCACGTCAAACTTAGTGCTATTTAACCATTATACATCTATATTCTTCTAGGTTCATATTATCTCACCACCACTTATGGAGCTCTGGAGCACATCAAAAATTATGATAAACAAGCTGTAACCAGACAGTTAAGTTTGGAGATCCAAGACTCCATTCATCGTTGGGAGCGCCGCCGCACCCTAAACAAAGCCAGAGCGTCACGCTCCTCTATACAGGTATAATGTCAACCAAAATGGCAAAGGAAAACCATTGGTCAGTCAATGTGAGGATTGATTTGTATCAAATTTCTTTTCTGTCAGGACTTTATTAACGTGTCCTTTCTGGAGGCTGGCTCCAACACCAAGACCCTGGGATTGCGTCCCAACACTACCGCTCAGGACCTGTGCAATCAGTGTGCGGACAAGTTTGAGGTATTGGATCCTGAGTCCTATTGCCTAAGCGTGCTGGTTGAGGGCCATTTCAAGCATTTGGCTCCTGAAGAGTTTCCTCTCACAATCAAATCCACCTTGCACCACAGTGAGCCACGCATAGATTATTACTTCGTCTACCGCCACGGTCGCTGGCCAGAACAAGAGTCTGCGGACCAGGCGCCAGCTACGCCAGCACCAGAAGAGAGTTTGATATGAGCTAATGCGTTTGTGTGCGCATGATGCGTCAGTAATAGGTGCGGGTCTTTAGCAGAGGGTTTCAGCTGCTTGAATGGACAACTTTAAATACAAAAGAATGTAAGCTGAAATTACAATGCCTAACCACAAGGCAGAATGTGCTATTTGCCGAGGGAAATTACATGAGTTCAAAGACTGGCTTATAGAGGAGTGGCATTTGCTTTAAAACGCTTGCTGGAAAGGTACAGGTACATGAAAAGATCTCTTTTTCTCCTAAAGGAGCACGGTGAGCCTCACATGAAGAGCTTGCATCAAAAAAAACATTCATTTTCTGAGACTCCAGAATAGCAGCGCACACACAAACAGATTCATCCTCCACCGTCCTTGTTAGCCTTTACTTCAGCAGATCTGATTTTCCCAAGCGTTATACAGTCCTTGAAAGTTTCATGATTTATAAATGAACCTTTAAACTTTCCAACAACGCAAATCCTTTCACATCTCAGGGCTCAGCAAATTGTGATTCATACCCGGTTTCGGTGCTGATTTCTTCATTTATACTAGTTTCTTAAAGCAATGTCTCTTTACAGACCTTGAATTGTTTATGCACCTGCATTGCTTTTATGTACTCAGTGATTTGCCATACAGATTTGCTTTCATTCTGTTATATTTTCTTCATATTTGGTTCATTGTTGCTGCATTTTATATATCACAACATATACAATAGTTTAGACATAAGCTCTGACTTTGTGGCAAATTGATCTAAGCAGCATGAATGCATATGTATCACGCATTATGTGAGTGTTTCAATGATCACGACACTTGTCAAACCAGATTGGTGTTTGTTATATTAAAAATGTATACTGATAATAAACACTTTTTACATTATTTACAGTGTGTGTTAAGAGCAACTTTAGGGTTCCCCTTTAGATAAAACACTTTCCTCTCATTTCTCCTCATCTGCACTGTATATAATATGATCTGAATATATAAATTAGCAATATGCTATGAGAGGCTGTTTCATAGAAACACAACACAGAGAGCTATGCAACAACAATATTATAAACACAATCTTTAATATCAATTTCCATTTATGTGCCCCATGCATTGTGCGGTAACAAGTACATGGTTTTCAACTATTTTACAAAGTCAAATCAGATTATGGAGCTGAATCTGTGAATTTAAAGGATGTCACAACTGAGTAACTCATCAAGTTGCTCCCCTGAAAAATTAAATGTGATACAAAACAATACTCCCCAGTGCTCACAGACATTTTTTTTTAAAGGAAACCCTCATATTAGTTAGTATGAGAGATTTAACAATAGCAATATTCTTGTTTGTGCATGAACAAAAATAGGAGGGGGTGTATGAATACCTGTCATATTTAGGACGGCACCAAAGATTTAGCTCCAGGCTGACATGTGGGAAGGATATTTGCAGTTTTATCAAACATTGGAATTCTGAGTGGTGGATCCTCTCTGGAGGCTGATGAGCTCAGCTATGTTTATCACATATCAATGATGGAGGAATGCGGCAGAGTAAAAATGGGACATTGATGCTGACTGTTATTCACATGAGATGATTGCAGAGGTGTATGATGCAAATGTGTGATGTCATGCTGTTCTTCTCTGCCAGATGTGACAGTATCATTAACGCATCCCTGCATTCTTTGCCTGAATGCAGTTTCAGTGTCATTTCATAAAAAAAAAACATCAAACCATTTGTGTCCACAACATCTGATAGTGTACTAAACACAAAAATCTACACAAAAAATGGTGTAAAAAATTCACTAATAAGTTGCTAGTAACAAAGAAATGGCAAATGTCAATGGCAAGTAAAAAAAGCTGAAATGGTATTTTCTTGTAAAATGTAGCCTACTCCAACAATCTTTGTTGTATTTTGGCTACAGATTAGAAAAATAATTTTAAAAGTGTACAAAAAGCTTTTTAAAGCTTAAAACATATTAATAACATTTTAATTATTATAGACAGGTCTGTTTAGTGTTTAGATAATGTGTTAATTGTGTTTTTGAAAATACATGCTTTTTTCTAATATTATATAGAAATTCTTAAAATGAACACTGAAATGCATACGCAACGAAACACACATTTTGTGACCAGGGACATCATAGGCCATCCTCTTCATTCATTTCTTAAAGTTAAACATCAACCTTTTCAGTATTCCTCAATTAATTAATTATATAGCGAAAATAATAAAGAATTCCTGTTTTCCCATTCCTTTTTTGTAAAAATAGAATTATAAACATAACAGATGTTATATTTCATCTAAAATAACAGTGACTACGTTTACATGCAGCCAATAACCCGTTCATAACCGGGATATTAGCAATAACCCGGTCGCGAACGGCCATGTAAACACCGGCAAAAACCCGAATGCTCATATCCCGTATTAAAAATTTTTGGTCATGTAAACGCGTATCGGCATATCCCCATAGTGATTTGTGTTCTGCGCATGTTCTATTCGCAAGGAATCTTGGTCTTTTGAGTAGAGAAAATTCTCGGCGCATACAAAAATCCGCGTGCAGTATACCGGAAGTAAACACGGCGAGACACAGCACAGCATACTTTTGGAGCGAGGTCAGTAACGTTACCAGCATCAAAGCGCAAACAAAGACGATCGCTATCTGCCCCAAACTATTCATTATCCGTGTGCTGCTGCTGTTGTCTTTGGATACAGAAAGAACAGAACAATCGGAAATGACGCATATTTGTGTCTTAAAGTTGTCCGTACGTCTAGACGCTAACCGCCTGTCGCCATATTGCAAACAATTCCATGTACAGGAGAAACTCTCTCTGCTCACGCATGTAAACGGGTTATTCCTAATGTTTCAGAAACCCGAATAGCGACCAAACCGAAAATTGGCTGCATGATGTAATCGTAGTCAATGTGGACTTTTATAAAGATCCGTTTGGGCATTAACTTTCAAATGCATAATAATGCATTAAAATGAGAAGAGTTCTGCATGAAAGACCTGCGACTGCAGACCAACGTGCTACTGGATTTCTCTCCGAGAAGGTAGGAAATGAAATGAGGATTTTAACTGTGACAATGTGATTGACAGGCCAGTTTACTGTGACAGGATGCGACAAAGAGCAACCGTTATGACGTGACGTGATGATATCACAAACTTGTGTAGGGCTACTCTTTTGCTACACACTAAAAGTATCAACTTTTTCTTTACAAAAAGAGTAGGCCTACATACTTTTAGGGTGTAGTATGAATAGGTGAATTGAGAATTGTGTAACATGCAACAATATTGGCCAGCTGCGGTTCTTGAAACCGCTTAGACTTAAATTCCCGAAGAAATGGGTAATAATATGAAATGGGTTATAATATAATAAACATTTCCTGTTGGGATTCACAGTTTAAATCTCACACAGAATCTAAAATGAATTGCATCAGCTTTCATGAATGAATCCTACAAATGTGCCACCCATGATCACATGATCATAACTGGCAAATTACTTCCCTGAAATGACCATAACATGTCTGGCTGACTTCCTTTTAATGAGTGCTTAATGCACATTACTGTACATAATAGACTGTTTTTACTTCATATTTTACTTTTATATTATAGACTTTTTGAAAGAACAGTAGATCCTATTATTGTCTCAGTGAGGGTCAATGTTTGGCTTGTTAACATGACTGCTGTTAGCACCTTCTCGTGGATCACTTACATAATCTGGCACGCAAAAACAACTTTCTATGTTGGCTGTGGAATGCTAATGATAGGAATGCTAATGTTATCATGACCTTGATAATAGGAAAAGCAGGAGCCATTTTTAAAATATTCCACCCATCACATTGCACTCTTGAAAGTTCAGAAAATGTATTTATGTTCAGATATGTTCAGAACAAGTACTATACATATTAATGTTTCGGTAGATAGCTACGGTGTATCTTGTGATAACAGTGTTTATTAAAATTAGCCTGATGAGAAAATTAGTGCTAATTATGTCTTATAGAGTTACACTTTTAGAATAATAAACACTCAACAAAAATCTCTCTTCATTTGTATGAACAGATGACCTTTAAGTAAAGTTTACTCTGAGATTTTTCACAGTTTGTGTGCACGAAAAATCCAGAGGTTTGTATGAGGATATGAAAGACAAGGAGGTGAGGAATAAGAGAGAAGAGAGAGTGCTTGCTTGTGTAAAAAGAGCATGACTCACGCTCGTAGTTGACGGTGGATGTTAAAACTTGCAGATCTGGATTACAACCAAAATTGAGGCCAGAGTTTACTAAACGCTTCAGATCATTTCTTCAGCCTCTTGCCGCTGAATCCCCTGACCTCATCTGCCTCACGCCTGATGCTTTCATTCTTGTCCCTCCACTCATGTCCGGTCCACGTCGCTGTTGTCGTGCTCTATAATGACTGTCAGGACCTGCTTGTCTGAACCTTGCACTCAAAACCGCTGGCCATTATTTTAAATGAGACCTAGCTAAAGTCAGCTTCCGTAACAAGCCTCTCTGTGCTGAATGAAAATGAGTGTTTTCTTTGTCACCTATAAGTTGAAGGCATGCTTTTTCCACGGTCTGATGAATGTTTACACTGAATAACAATGAAATATGCAATAGTTTTTATTAGAAAAGGAGATGCGCCTTATGTATGAAAAACTGTTTTGTTTGCACATGACTGTTTTAGCAGTTGAGTGTTTCTGAAGCAAAAACCTACATGTGGTTGCGTAAAATGCGACAAATTGTCTTGTGGGGGATTCTGTGTTTGACAAGACCTTTCAAATTTAATGAGAGTGACGTTTTGCTTGGCCTAGAATCCAAACGTGTGCGTGGGCTGCATGAGGACAGCAAGCACGTCACTTTAAATTCGGTTCGGGATCCTCATTATCGACCCTTATCTTGTAACTCATGATCCTATAGGTTACGCCCAGTGACAGGTAGGTCACGCGCTTTGGTCAAGGTTATTATATTCCATAGTATGGAAACGCTGGAACAACTAGTTTTGATCATGATCATGTGGCACTTTCCAGATTTATCCTTTTTCCTTTTTTGAGACATCATTAAGGTGTTCTGACGTCCAAACAGTTGTCTTTTCTCCTCTGATTCTTTCCTCTATTTTAAGGCTCCATCCAAACAGGACATTCAGGGGTGTGGCCTTCTCTGTTTCAGCTCGGTTTCCTTTTCAACAAGGAGAATGACACATGCCTTTTTATCTTTTCTGTTTCCCCCTACAACTTCTGACAAAAAGAGAGGTATATATAATCCCACACAACCAAATCCTGTATATATTCACACTGGCACTTGACAATGCACAATAGAGTTTGGAGGTAGAGCTACAACTAGAGAAGTTGATGAAGCAATACATTTAAAGAGGAACCGTCGGCAACTTCTCAACAATTAATTACCTAGCTAGAGTGTTAGACAGAAATAGTGGACAATCACAAACCTCTTTGAGACATTGCATGGAAGATTTGCAAACCAGCTTGGAGTCACACAAGACTGATTGGATTTTTGACTCCACCACAGCAACACACGGCCAAGAGGAAGAACTACTCCACAAAGGTACCATAAACATTAAAATTTATTAAACTATATTTGCAAATCATAATATTTTCAAGTATAGCCTACTTGAATACACACACACACACACACACACACACACACATATATATATATATATTGAAATACTGTATATTACTTATCAATATGCAAATTCATTTAATAATAATGTATTACTATTTCACTACATTAAAAAAACTATTGATTTTTTTACAACATTTTGTAATGGAGCAGGTTTTTCATTCAAATTTTATCATTTTGAAATATTGCAAAGCAGATACACTGTAAAAAATATTGTTGGTTTAACTTAAAAAAAGTAAGTAACCTGGTTGCCTTAATTTTAAGTTGATTGAACTGGAAAAAGTTAGTTAATGCAATGAAGGAGATTGATTTAATCATCAGAAACTCAAAATAATAAGTTATCTCAACTAAATAAATTATTTAAGTTGATTTGACAAAAGAAAAAAAATGTTGTGATAACAAACCTTGAACATATTTTTTTTACAGTGTAGAAATTAAACTGTCTTAATATTAAAAATTTAAAAATGCAGCTATTAATATGTACCCTTTTGGTCTGGTCTGAAGTACTGCTGAATAATGTTAGTGAATGAAAGGTTGTAAATAATGCATAGACATCTGAAATATACTTATGATTGTCTGATAAATGAGTTTAATTTCAAAGTTGCCTGTAGTCAGAGCTATCTTCTGGCAATAGTCGCATCCCTCATAAATTACATTCAATATCTACATTTTAAATGTTGCACATGTATATCTTTTCCTTCTCTTATCTGTACAGAAACATTTTTCTAATATTATGTCTTGATCAACATATTTATTTTTAGATGGTGGCTATATCCTTGCCTCCTCGTCCTGCCCTGTTGTTCTTGGTCCTCATGAGTGTGACTCTGATGACATCTGCGTTTCCCCAGCCTCAACTTCGACCTCTGCAAAGGTATAACTGTTCCTTAAAAATATTATTGTCATCATTGTTGTTGTACCTCAATTTGAACAGCTGTAGCCTTGCATGAAGAGTTTGTTTTGAATTGCATTTTATTTACTTATGGAATAAAATAGATTTGTGGTTATTTATAAACTTAATGGTTAAATTGGCACAATTCAACACCTCAAACACAAATCCATTTGAGGTAGACTTAAAATTTCACGTGGAAGTCTTTCTCCTAACATAGAATTGTTTTTCCTCAAGTACTAGAAGTTCTGCTAAACCTTTATTTGTAATTTTTGGAGATAGCATTTATAAACTGGCTACATTTAATAGAGTTCAAGATATTGCAGCCTCAATTATAGGTGTAAAAATTTTTAAAACAGATGCTCTGTAACAAAATTATAAATCATTATAAAACATATTCATTTGGACACATTTCTGACACATCTCTCTCTTCTAAACAGTAACTTGCCTGCTATTGGTCAAGAGGATTCCAAAGGTGAACAGTGGGAAGTGCTGTTCCCCTCCATCTCGCTCCGTGATTGGAGCATTCAGATGCTGAGCGCTCCAGATTTTGAAGCAGCTAATGCTGGGACACAACAGCTGGTGAGGGATGATTGGCTTCCGCTCAGCCAGTCACAGGTGGAGGAGGAGCTGATGAAGGGCTGGCTGGGCAACTGGCCTTCACGGGTGGGTCACCAGCAGAAGAGAAACATAGTGGTGGCAGATGACGCTGCATTTAGAGAAAAGAGCAAGCTTTTGACAGCAATGGAAAGACAGAAATGGCTCAATTCCTATATGCAGAAACTCTTAGTAGTTAATTCAAAGTAGTTATTATGTTATGTAATTGTAAATATATAAAATATTTAGAAAAATGTGTTTTATGTGGGAGAAAAAAAGCATTTGATCATCACTACATGAGATAATGTAATCGAGTTAAAGGGTTAGTTCAACCAAAAATGCTCTCATCATATACTCATTTTAATCCCATATTATTTTTCTGCACGGAACACAAAAGTAGATAGTACAATGCTTCATATGTTTTTTTTTTCCCCTACACAAATAAGTAAATCATACGGGGTTGAAATGACATGATGGTAAGTAAATGATGAGAAATTATTTTTGGGTGATCTATCCATTTTAAAAATCTGAATGTAGATAAAGGTACTTTTCTTTCTTTTTAGATGATCTTTGAATAAGGAAAATGCATGATGTGTTTGTTGGTCTGATCTTGATTTGAATAAACACCTGAAAACAATCTGCATGACTGTTTGCAATTTGCCTTAATGGGATTCACATAATATAAGCTGCCATAATAGATTTCATATGGCACTTTGCTTTATCCCGAAATGGTGAAAGTTCTTCAGTTTATTAGTTGATTAATTTCAGCTAATTTATTGTAAAATACCAGCAAACTTTATTTATATGCTGTCAAATTTACAATCAATTAGTGAATAGATTAATTCAAATCTCACAAATAACCTGGTTCATTTAGAATCGGACGTAACTGTAAAATGACAAGTTGTTCAGTGAAAGAATATTGAGCTCAGTAACAGCTTTTTTTGTTAAACATTTTGACTTATTCAGTAAAATCAATGGTTGTCATAAGAGTTATTGTTGCATGAATCCAATATCACGGCTCACAATTGCTAGGGCTATTGAAAAGTTTGCACAGGAAAAGTGTATTAGAATACACACTGGGTAATAGGTTGCCTATTACATTATCTAGATAAATAGATTTTTGAGGCACTGTAAAGGTGAAGTGAACCAAGCTGGTAAATTGAGCTGTGTTGCAGAGCAGATAGGTCCTCACATGATAATATTAGTAATTTATCGCAAAGCCGAATTATGATGTGCTTAAAATGGAATTTTTAATGTTCTGACAGCAGAAAATTAAATAGGGCCATGGTTAAATACACCCTCATGACCTCATTAGCCTCGAGCTAGCAGGCGATTAATCAACTGATTGGAGAGGCTTTAAGTATGAGGAAATCTCAGACAGCAGACACTGCGACAGCTGAATCGCTGCTTCAGGTTATTTGTGAGAATTTTATAATGTTTTTTTTTTCCCTTTACCTTTCAAAATGGCTTCACAAAGGTCAAGTCTCGCAAATAGTGCCTGGAGGGGTTGTTAAATAATATCTTCTCATGAATCCAGTATGTATGGTTATGTATTCAAGAAATAATTTATAGGCTGTTTGTTGGAAGTAATACATTTCAGCAGACAGTGATTGACTCACACAGTTGAGCATTTATCTCCAGTTCATTCTCCGTCCGTTCAGAAGTGCAATTTATTGCTCTTATGGAACACACCTAGAAATGGCATCTCTGTTAGGACTGAGAACTGTGCTATGGACATCTTCCTGCTGTTCAGGCTTCGTTGTGAGGAAGCCTTAAGAAACTCTATAACGGTGAGATGGATGAGAGGGCTGAGGATCACAGGAACTGTAATTTATCACTCCCTACAGCTGGCCTACATGGCAGCCAGAGCCAATCAGCAGTAGCCAAATTGCTTTCTGCACCCCATTCTCACCAAGTGGAACTGCGTCTCAAAGCTCATGTAGAATCATCCAGTCCTGCTGTTTCTCAGCGGTTCTGGCACAAGTGTTGGCTGGGTGTGGGAGTAAATACTATGAGTTTTGTGTTTGTGCTGAAGTTCAATGTTAGCTCGATCTGCATATTTCAGCTGTCAATGTCAAACACACCACAGTTTCAAGATTATGGAGGTTTTATTACACTTTGCAACATTTAAAATGTCACAGCTAAAATAAAAAAAGAAACAAGATAATAATAATAATAATAATACAATGATCCTCTTTAAAACATGACTGAATTGTATATTAATTAATCTATCATCATCCAATATTATCTGTTTTTTTTCTAATGAACTCTCTTACTTGCGTCGTCTCTTCCATTCCATCCACCCACACATACAAAACTTATAAAGGCTGAAAAGTAATTTTTGCAAATTAAAAGTTTCCATTCGAATCCCCAGAAAAATAATAATGTGAGAGTTGTTTTGCTTTAAAACATGCTCACATCTTAACACACATGAAATATATATTTTTGAAAACATAATTTAAAGTTAACTTGAAGTTCACGTCTTGCCTCAGACCTGTTTACAGATTTTGGTAAGGATGATTGGACTTAACTTCTGAACTTGGTACATTTCGTTTCTCATTTTTCACTCATCAGCAAGCCCAGACGGGAATTTTCTCAGATTTTATGCACAGATTTCCGAGGGAAAATCTGCAGAATTGTGTGGAATGGATTTAAACTTGGTGGGCTGAGAGTACTGGATATTGATTGATTGCTCAAGCATTTCCAAACTAGCCGAAATATTTTATAAATGAACAGTGAACACACAAGGGGCAGGGCAACTTTGAAGAACTTTGAAAATAACAAGCATTCGGATTCTACAGAAATCAGTGCAGATTCCATGTGTGGAGCAAGGTGAGCAACCACCACACAAATCTCTTTAAAAACATCCCATATCTAACATCACAACAGCTGCTTGAAATTACAAAATTTGTTTAAAATCAAGATCTTGTGAGCTGCCATTTGTGCATCTGAGCATCAATGGCATTTGAACACTTAGCCTAGATGAGTAGCACTTTACAAAATATTCTTTAAAATAGTAAACTTAGGGCTGAACTCCTTGCTCAGTAGTAAAAGGACCAGAAGAAAGATACTTCATCTTTTCCTGGTCTGAACTAACTAAGATTTTCCTCTTTCCCCCTAATACTAAAGTCTAGACATTTTGCGTCACGTGTCAATGACTTCACGGGCCGGTGAGGGCTCCTCTGGAAGGGTGGTCGTGGCGTTTGGTAAAGTTTGATTGTGTGGCACAGAGTTGTGCTGTATCTCCATTGCAATCCCAGCAGGATCTTGCGGGGGAAACTCCTTAACTTGCCGTCGGTACTCCAGGAAGGTGCAGGCCTTAGTGGCGATGGCAACGACATTCTTCCCGATGAAGATGGTCGAGACTCGGCTGTCTTGGAACAAAACCATGTTGACACCTCGGATGAGGATGGTGACTATGTTGATGGTCACCAAGCTGAGGACGGGGTAGAGCATCATCTTCTGAGGCGACACGTGCTCGCCCTGCACGCTGATTTCGCTCAGAGAAACACAAGGCAGGATGAGCAGCAAGATGTAGCAGTAGAAGAACATCAGACCCTCGGCCCAGATTGGCAGACCTGTCCGCTGTGGCTCCCAAAGGTTAGCCTGGATGTCCAGCACATCCAGAAGGTCAAGAGCCACCCAGAAGAGTCGCCCCCGCATGTCCTCCTTCTTCCGGAAGGTTCTTACGTACTCCATGCTGTCGAGCGCGACCAGGACGAGGTACAGTCCGGGAACGCAAACCGATAGCAACAAAGTCAATGCTTTCCTAGCTACCGTCTCCAGACTTTTACGGTCAGCCTTGTAGTTCTGGAAGACGAAGTAGAGCTTGATTTCCAGAACGAAGATGTAGAGGAACCAGAGGATCATGGCGTAGCCACGCTTCGCAGTCCTTACCTCAGCACCCACCCACACCGCCACATAACGCAGCACTATAAGAAAGCAAATATCTCCCACCAGGACGATGATGCAGACGCCGATTTTGCGTGGGCCCTGGTTCTGCTCCACAAGGTAGGCATCCATGAAGGCCATGCTGGTCATGATCACAATGGTGGTTAAACACACATGCCGCTTGTCAGGTGGCGGCAGAACCATGGTGCTATCTGTTTATCGAAGTAAAAAACGAACAAATCGTATCCTTCAAAAAGTAGCAAGGTTAGTTCATGGCGTGCAAACTGTTGTCCATCGATGCTGGTGACTGAGGAGCCCGTGTTGCAAAGCTCCACACAGTCCAAAGACCACTCTTTACCGCATTTTCGAGCCTTACATGGCCTCCGCACTACTTTAGTATGCCAATATCTCTTTGATTCAGTGTGACCGTATCGTATAAATCTCTATGTGTATCCACTGCTGAGGCAGATTGTGTCGATTTCCTACCGACATGAGCCTGCTTGTCTGTGTCAGCTGACCCATATAAACAGCATTGCTGGACACTGTGCCGTTCTCTTGTCGTTGTCGTCACTTACTCCTGCATCGGAGCCAAGTGTGTATCGTCAGTCGTGAAGACGGAAGGGGAGGTCACAGCTCTCTTTCTGCTCTGCCGGCTTGAAGCATCTGTTAATTAAAGAAAGAAAAAATTGTTCAGTTTAGAGGATGTTTTTGACCTTGTTCCAACTGAAGAAGCTTTAAAACAAAACACTAGGGGTCACTGTGGTAATTTAGCACAATCAGGTGTAACTAACCATCCCTTGGGAGTCCTTGGGTTTGTTTCACATTTCTCTTAAGCCTTTTATGTTGAAAAGCTGTTTTGAAGGGTACTGAATTTGTCATGTTTAAATATCCAGAGTGTTTCTGTGAGTAAAAGTAAGTCATTTACAGTATAGAGCAGGTTGGCCGACGCAATATAGCCTGAATTATAATTTTGGTGTATTTTTGTTTTTGATTTAACAAGTGATTTAACACTTTTGAATACTTTTAATCGAAAATTCCTCCTTTTTGTATGAGTTCTATAAGCTCGACCTCGCTATGCTGCATTATCCATATTTAGGTATGACTGTGTCAGCCAGAATATCATTCCCTAATATTCCTATGAGCTCTGAGTCACCAGCTTCCATAGCAACGGTTTCTATTGAGAGAGTGATAATAAGTGATGATGAGTCTAACGCAGCGGGGAACCCTCGGATTTCTGGAAAGCCAGATATTATTGGATGTGCAACAGGCAGACGGGTGTGCACTAACTCTGATATCTTGGTGTGAGGTGGCCTGATGTGAATGACAATAATCCCCCCAAAAACGTTTCAGGTTTCAGTATGCATGGTAGACACGAGTTGTGTTAAAATAAACTGCATCACATTTAAATGCTGTTTTAAGATACAGCAACTCTTCCGAAAGCACTGTGTTCTTTTTAAGACTCAACTCACGGTCGCATCTGGAGGTTACTGTGACAAGATTTCCTCTTCAGATGGGATATTTGGGAACAACACATACATTTAAACAAGGGATTATCGTTGATCTGTGTCTTTTGGATGAAATTTCAATCACAGCAACATTTGTTTTGCACACTACTTACACAGCGGTCCTTCACAATCCTCTATTGGTAGTTCACGTCAATGCCGCTCACATATATGGAAGCAAACACAGACTATTTGCTCATACAGCTTCTCAAGTGATTGATTTCAATCTCAAAGAGATAAAAATCATGCACAATATATCCGTACACTGAGAGAAATACATGAATCCAAAGTTGTACCTACATTTATCATTGCGTCTTGAATGCATTTAGCTTTACACTGGGTGATGGCCAAGTGCACATGCTCAGAAAAATTGCCTTGTTACATATAATTGAGTGACAGTTTGAATCAAGTTTCATTTTCTGATCCCACCAATATTAAACTATAACAAAGTAGATTTTTTTTGTATGATATCTGCAGTAACTCAATTGGTCTGTTCTTTTAATAGGACTGCTCAGAACAAAATGTGGTCAGACTTGTACTTCCTTTCGTTTCTATTCTAGTGCACATATTTTCTTTTCTGAGAATGTAACTCTTTGACCTTCTGAACTCTCATCTGTTCAGTTTAAAAACGCGCAGCTGAGCGGAAGATTGAACTATTTATTTTGGAGAGGGTGGAGAGAACCACAGATTGAGACTTTAAATACATCACACAAAGCATGATTTCTGGATTAATGCTTTAATGATGTATTTTGACATAAAATACTCTGAATTCATTGCAAGATACGACATCAATCCTACTAGAGTATAATTGTTGTGACCACATACAGTTCCCACTCTCCAGCCCATTATTTACAGCCCTCAAATGAATCTTGAATAATAAAGAAGGATGGCTCAAATAATATTACGGTACATGTACTCACGCATATATGAAAAAAGGTATCAATGTTAAGCTTCTTTGAATATGACATTCTATATTTATGTGTCCAGGTATTTGTTTTCCTTGGGTGGTCGATCTTATTTTATGACAGATCTCACATACCTCACATTATTTTCTGCACTTTCACATGGAAGGGATGGAAGTATATTTATTGTAGGTTTTGAATAGAAATCTTTGTGATGGTTCACAATATAGAGAAAGTGTGTAAATCTGTTTCTGACTACTTTGAGAGATGTATCAACACTATTCAATTTTTAAAGCCAGGTATCTGTATGGCAAGTCTATGTCCAAATAGTCAATCCATATCCATATCGTGACTTTTCTATTGTTAGTGTTAAGCATTGTGTCTCTTTTATTGTACATTTGGAGTCAGATAATATTCCAATTTGCTCCATTATGTTGTAATTTAAGCCAATGTTTTAAATACTTTTCTATTTGGTTTGGTTTAATTGAGTTTCTATCCTTTATAAGAAATGGTTTCTATGAAAGTCTGTTTCTAAAAAAATGTCATTTTGAAATAAGTAAAGCTGTGAAATATAAAGTAAAATTGGGATATATAAAGTTGCAGTTACAAGAAAAAGTTTCATCTGTGAGAAAGAATCAAAGTCCTAATTATGAGAAATAGACACAATTGCTAAATATAAAGTCAAGTTTTACTCAGAGATGGAAAACAGTCCTAACAATAACTAATTAATGTCATCTCATGGTATAGTTCGAGGCTTTTGGTAGAAGATCTTGCTTTTCCATAGCTGGTTCTGAAATAGTTCTTCAGACACACAAGCACTTGCGCACACATTCCTCCTTCAATGTACTGTAAGTGGAGAGAGAAATGGAGTGAGAGCATTAAATCAAGAGTTTAATTAAAGTGGCACAACACAAGGGAGCAAATAAGTGTCTGGAGTAGTAGAGAGCGAGCTCATCAGGCCAATCAATACACACATGAGGAATACTCCTCCCACCCTCTGTGAAGCAGACAAACCCTAGACACTCACAGGAGCCAATAAGGCAAAGCATTAAAAGCAGTGCTCTATGTTTTCTATTGGCTTCCAAATGCAACACAGTTGCACAGAACATAAATTGCACATGAGGTTGCTGCATTGCAGCTGCAACCGGTATAAATAACAAATGAGACCTCTGTAATATCTCAGTCCTTTGTCCTTGACAGCAATTGGAATAAAGGATGCACACAATAGTGTGGTCTGGTGTTTCTTCTGAGAAAAAGACCCCAGTGATGTCACTTGCATCTCCACTAGATCACAACAACTTTACAGAATATATCGCGATAAGTCTGCAGAGATTTCAAAATGAACTCAAATAGTTCTTATCAATTCTTCTAAAATCAAATGATATGAGATATGCTATTTACATTTTTTTAGTACAAAATGTTTATTTCTTCAAAGGAATTTTTGGTGAAGCATCTGAGACAAGTTAATATATGAATACCTCCGATGCAAAAGTATTTTATACAATTAAATATAAAATAAAATAAAAACATTATGGCAGGCGCATCACATTTTAAACTGAGCTGTCTGGCACCTTCTTTGGTTATTTACACCTCCTGACTGACAGATCTAGTGACTTCCAAACAAGCTTAGCAGAGAAAGTATAGGCAAAGTTTACTAAGCAGTTTAAACAAGAGGTGCTTTGCATTCCGCATTGCACGGCGCCGGAGACACTTTATTAATTTTCAATGAGCACACAACAAAGTTTCCCGAAAGATATTTTCGAGAGAAAGTTTATAAATGATGTTGAATGTTTAATTTCTCATGCATACTTAACAAATAGAAAAACAAAATAGTTTATTTAAAAGCCAGAAGCCTGTGGCTCTGTCACACATTCGCTGGCAGCTCAGCAATTAGTGAGGGGCTGAATATACAACATGAATGCATGCGTTTACACAGTGTGTTACCATTATATTCAGTTCAGTTCAAGAACTGTTAGTTTGTATTTCTTCAGTTCATGCCTTTCTTTGTTGTTTTCCCACCACTCGGTTACTATGGTCACCATCATTATGAGTTCTGTGTTTCAGCTGTGTTTGACTAAACTGTGTTTGATTTATCACAGTGACTCTTTATCTGGACACCATATATTTAAAGTGTTTACTACTGCCTGCCTCTTTGTGTTTTCCTGCAAACACCGCCAGTATATAGGCATGTGTGCATATATATATATATATATATATACACACACACACACACACACATATATTTATTCGTTGCTGTGTTGCTGTGGTAACAGGCATCCATCAGACCGATCCGCCAGACCCCCAATAAAAGAAAACAATAATGAGTGTGACTCTTATTTCTGCTCGGTATAATAATAATAAAAAAAAGACCCTCTGTGCTTCAACTTGAAGTAGAGGATTTCGTGCTCTTTCTCTCTTTTCATCTTGGTGTTATTACAGAAAAAGACTCAGAGATAAGACAAACCGTAGTTTTAAAGCCTTTCTTGTGGAAACACAGAATGGACATATGGCCTGGTATTGCAAAACATAAACACAGACTGCTGTCTGAACATTACCAGCATATGATCTGTGTTTTCTGTGAATATGGCGCATCTTCACTGCGAGTATAAAAAGAGGTTCGACTAATCATTGTATGAATCAGTTCAATGGTCAGTTATTCTTATAGAAAGTGATTCAACTATCAGTTATTCTAACAGAAATAAATTGATTTAGTACTCAGTATTTCTTGCAAAAAAAAAAAAGAAAAGAATGAGCCGTTAATTCTTATAGATTTCATGAGAATGTAACTTCTGTCATGTACAAACTAAGGTCGTCTCCTCGCCTCTCTTCCACCTTCATGTGGTCCTCCATCCCCCAACCCTCATGAGCCAGGTCTCACATCCTCCTCCATCTCTTTGGAGTCCTCTCCAGAGCTGTTTCATACTCTCTTTCAACTCTCCTACTCATTGATTGACCTCTCTCCCTCTTTCCACTGCATTCCTCCCCCTCATTCACTTAATTAAAACGGCGAGTGTCTGAAAATCTGAGAGGGGCTTTGTAAGGTAATGAATGAGCATGCATTCTGCTCTAGTTGGGAAAATCTTACAAAAAACAAAAACAAATCCAGGTCACATTTCACATCCAAACAGATCTGTAAGAAATTATTTTTGCAATATATAATATAGATTTTGCAAATAAGGCCTATTTTTATTTTTGCTTTTTATTTCAACTTTCTAACATTATTTTTGAGACAATTATGTGCATTTCCCCAATGTATTCC